CCTATCAGCCTCCACCACCACTATAGACCCCCACCACCATTATCCACCCACCTATCAGCCTCCACCACCACTATAGACCCCCACCACCATTATCCACTCACCTATCAGCCTCCACCACCACTATAGACCCCCACCACCATTATCCACCCACCTATCAGCCTCCACCACCACTATAGACCTCCACCACTATTATCGACCCACCTATCAGCCTCCATGGCCGCCTGGCGAGCAATCTCTGTCATCTGCTCAGAGTTCTGGCCAAAGTTTGCCAGAGCGGCTAGCGCCTGTTTGAGCGCCGCCCTGCCCTCGTCGTCGATGTAGCTCCTGGCGACTGCTAAGGCCGCGTCAGCTCGCTCGATGGCCTCCTCCGCAGCGTCAATGTCACTTTGGCTCTCCGCTGTGGCCTGGCCGGCCGAGGCGATGTTGCGGGAAATCTGGCCACATTTGGTCAGCACATCGGCCAGAGAATTACGCAGGGCCTCCAGTTGTTGCCCGATTGTCCCGTCGCCAGCTGGTACACACAAGACACAAATACAGGGACTTTTTTTGTTTGTTTCAGTGAGAGTTTTTTGTTGTTGTTTTAGTAAGAGTTTTATGGTACTTGCAACACAATAAGGTCATATAAGTGCCGAAGATTAGAGCTGTTACAGGGGAGTAACAAACACAAAACAGAAGAAGGGGGGATAAGGACGATAGATGCTGGATAGGAAAGAAAAAGCAAACCACACCAGAGCACCCGCCAACCGCCCGCTCACAGCATTTGCAACACATGTAGGGCATTCTAGCGCCGAAGATTCGAGGTGCTACAAGAGAGTAACATACATAGAAAAAAAGGGTTTCTGTTTAATTGCTTTTAGTAAGAGTTTTTCGGCACTTGCAACGCAATCAAGTCATATGAGTGTCAAAGACTAGAGGTGTTACAAGAGAGTAACAATCACAAAAAAGAAGGAAAGACCACACCAGAGCACCCACAAACCACTGACAGACTGTTTGTTTCATGATGAGGATATTCACACAGACAGACACATAGACATGAAGGATATTCATACAGATAGACACATAAACATGAAGGATATTCACACAAACTAACATATAAATATGAAGGATATTCGTACAGACAGACATAAACATGAAGGATATTCATACAGACAGACACATAAACATGAAGGATATTCATACAAACAAACACATAAACATGAAGGATATTCACACAAACAAACACACAGACAGACAGACAGAGAAACATAATACAAATAGACAGACACACAAATAAATAGACAGACATACAAACTTACTTGAAGCCCCCCTGGCGTCTCTGAGCAGACCGTCTATAGCCATGGACACCTTGTTGAGGTGAGATACAAACAGACAGATAGACAAACAAACTCACTAGAAGCCCCCCTGGCGTCTCTCAGCAAACCGTCTATAGCCATGGACACCTTGTTGAGGTGAGATACAAACAGACAGACAGATAAACAAACAAACAAAACAGACAGACACACAAACAGACAGACAGACAAACTCACTGGAAGCCCCCCTGACGTCTCTGAGCAGACCGTCTATGGCCATGGACACCTTGTTGAGGTGAGATACAAACAGACAGACAGATAAACAGACAGACAAACAAACTCACTGGAAGCCCCCCTGGCCTCTCTCAGCAGACCGTCTATAGCCATGGACACCTTGTTCAGGTGAGATACAAACAGACAGACAGATAAACAAACAAACAAAACAGACAGACACACAAACAGACAGACAAACTCACTGGAAGCCCCCCTGGCCTCTCTGAGCAGACCGTCTATAGCCATGGACACCTTGTTGAGGTGAGACACGAACTCGGTGTCGTTGAAGAGACTGGGGTTGTCCACAGTCTGCTCTATGACCACCGTCAGCTCCCGCAGCTTCCCGCGGTGTGTGTTCACCTGTCGCTGGACCAGGTTGTAGCACTGCGGGCAGTCTGTGGGTGAGAGGGAGGGAGAGGGGGGGGGGGGGGGGTAGTAAGAGCTTTTTAGTTTTTAGTAGAGGTTTTACGGCACTCGCAACTGCAGAAGGTCATATGAGCGCTAGAAGATTAGAGGTGTTACAAGAGAGTAACAAACATAAAAAAGAAGAAGGGGAGATAAGGATGATAGATGTTTGATAGGAAAGAAGAAGCAAACCACACCAGAGCACCCGCCAACCACCCACAGTAAGAGCTTTAAGGCACTTGCAACACAACAAGGTCATATAAGTGCCGAAGATTAGAGGTGTTACAAGAGAGTAACAAACACACAAAAAAAGGAGGGCAGACAGAGACAATAGATTTTTGTTATAGGAAAGGGGTTGTTTTCGTCAAACATGAAAAAGGTCATACATAGCTGCGAACTTTTCAAATACCAAGGTTGTAGCACAGAAGGCCGTCTGTGAGGGGGAGGGTGTGGGGGTGGTTTTAGTAAAAGAGTTTTACAGCACTTGCAAAACAAATAAATCCTTTTGTTTTGGTATTAATTTTGCGGCACTTGCAAGTCAAATAAATCATATATATAGCTGACAACGTTTCAGAAGTAAAACTCAAACGCTACCCACACAGTGGATCGAGGCGTTGGGTGTTGGCCGCATGGTGGTGGGTGTTGGCCAAGCAACCCCTCTCCAAACACTCCACACACCATTTTCTTCATTCAATAAGTTCATCCTCAATAGCCAACTATAGTAACAGACACAGACTAGACTCAATTGACCAGTCAGCTTCATTTTCAATTAGTTCATCCTCAATAGCCAACTATGGTAACAGACACAGACTAGACTCAATTGACCAGTCAGCTTCATTCTCAATAAGTTCATCCTCAATAGCCAACTATGGTAACAGACACACACTAGACTCAATTGACCAGTCAGCTTCATTCTCAATAAGTTCATCCTCAATAGCCAACTATGGTAACAGACACAGACTAGACTCAATTGACCAGTCAGCTTCATTCTCAATTAGTTCATCCTCAGTAGCCAACTATGGTAACAGACACAGACTAGACTCAATTGACCAGTCAGCTTCATTCTCAATAAGTTCATCCTCAATAGCCAACTATGGTAACAGACACAGACTAGACTCAATTGACCAGTCAGCTTCATTCTCAATGAGTTCATCCTCAATAGCCAACTATGGTAACAGACACAGACTAGACTCAATTGACCAGTCAGCTTCATTCTCAATAAGTTCATCCTCAATAGCCAACTATAGTAACAGACACAGACTAGACTCAATTGACCAGTCAGCTTCATTCTCAATAAGTTCATCCTCAATAGCCAACTATGGTAACAGACACAAACTAGACTCAATTGACCAGTCAGCTTCATTCTCAATAAGTTCATCCTCAATAGCCAACTATGGTAACAGAGACAGACTAGACTCAATTGACCAGTCAGCTTCATTCAATAAGTTCATCCTCAATAGCCAACTATAGTAACAGACACAGACTAGACTCAATTGACCAGTCAGCTTCATTCAATAAGTTCATCCTCAATAGCCAACTATGGTAACAGAGACAGACTAGACTCAATTGACCAGTCAGCTTCATTCTCAATAAGTTCATCCTCAATAGCCAACTATTGTAACAGAGACAGACTAGACTCAATTGACCAGTCAGCTTCATTCAATAAGTTCATCCTCAATAGCCAACTATAGTAACAGACACAGACTAGACTCAATTGACCAGTCAGCTTCATTCAATAAGTTCATCCTCAATAGCCAACTATAGTAACGGAGACAGACTAGACTCAATTGACCAGTCAGCTTCATTCTCAATATTATTTGCAGATCTAGTCATGAAAGTTCATAATTTTTCTACAGCACGTTAAAGTCAGTGAGGAACAATACTACAAAACAGAACATACATATTTTCTAACATGAAAACGACTTCCGTACTTTGACCCTCGAAAACATTTTATTTTTATTCATGTTTTTACAATATACAGGTTAGCACCTACGGTCATAATATATATTTAAAGTGCCGAAGATTAGAAGTGTTATAGCTAGAGAGTAACACACAAATAAAAGAAGGAGGATTGATCAGGATGATGGATGTTCCATAGGAAAGAACAAGAAAACCACCCCAGAACACCCGCCAACTATCCTGTGTGTGTGTGTGTGTGCGTGTGTGCGTGCGTGCGTGTGTGCGTGCAGAGAAGCACATTATGATAAGCAATGTGGTACAGAGACTGTAGCTTGTTCACTTTCGTCTGGCAGCGACAAAAAAATTCTAGCTCATTCAGGAATTTCCCTATGCTCAGGAAACTTTGCATGGCACTTCTGCAGGCCAGCACCCACACAAAAATATTTCTTCACAAAATCTTGACCCAGTAATAAAAAAGTATTTCTCTTTAGGCCCTTTATTAAACACCGCTTTTTGGATGCGTACAAAGGATCACTAAACAAAATGACTTACAGTAGCCTTGCCTACAAATTTGCTCATTATGAGACAGCGACACTGCCCTGCCCCCACATTTCAGTACAAGCTTGTAGATTTCATCCCCCGGCTGTCTAAAAGTCTGCACATGCTCCACGTGAGTCTCGAAAAATACTCACCCCGTCTCTTGAATCGTGTTTTTTAGGCGAACGTTAAAGAGTGGTGTTGAGGAAAATATGTCAACTAATAAATGTTTTAGGCGTATATTGTAAATGCTTTATTATTTCTTTGACCTGCTTTAGGCTTCCATCAAAGAAAACGAGTCAAAACTTTGGTTTGCACTCACTTTTATGAATAGCCTTTTAGATCCTGTTGGCCGCTGAACTTTGAGACTGCGGGCAAAGACCCGGAAAGTTTAACAGAGCGGTTTGTTTCTATCCCGTTTTAACCGTGGTCAGACGAAAGTGAACGAGCTATAGAGGTGCAACATATCCAGACAAAGGTACATAAACAAGACAAGCTAGCCACATACCTAGACAGTGGTATAGAGACAAGACGAGCTAGTCATATACCCAGACAGAGGTACAGAGACAAGACGAGCTAGCCACATACCCAGACAGTGGTACATAAACAAGACGAGCTAGTCACATACCCAGACAGAGGTACATAAACAAGATGAGCTAGTCACATACCCAGACAGAGGTACATAAACAAGACGAGCTAGCCACATACCCAGACAGCGGTACGGACAGACTTGAGGTGATATATACCCAGACAGAGGTACATAAACAAGACGAGCTAGCCACATACCCAGACAGTGGTACATAAACAAGACGAGCTAGTCACATACCCAGACAGAGGTACATAAACAAGATGAGCTAGTCACATACCCAGACAGAGGTACAGAGACAAGACGAGCTAGCCACATACCCAGACAGAGGTACATAAACAAGATGAGCTAGTCACATACCCAGACAGAGGTACATAAACAAGATGAGCTAGTCACATACCCAGACAGAGGTACATAAACAAGACGAGCTAGCCACATACCCAGACAGCGGTACAGACAGACTTGAGGTGATATATACCCAGACAGAGGTACATAAACAAGACGAGCTAGCCACATACCCAGACAGAGGTACATAAACAAGACGAGCTAGCCACATACCTAGACAGTGGTACAGAGAGACTTGAGGTGATATATACCCAGACAAAGGTACATAAACAAGATGAAGCCAACCACATACCGAGACATCCGGCAGCGATGTCGTACTTGTTCTCCATACAGCGGTCACAGCGCGGCCCGTCCACGTTCTCCTTACACTCACAGTAGCCTGTCTGTACGTCACACTGGAGGTCCAGGGAGCCCGACGGGTCGCAGTTACAGGCTGGGGGGAGGGGAAGGAGGGTTATATGTTTTTACATTTCATTGAGTAAAGACAATGATGGGGGGAGGGAGGGAGGGACAGGATTATACGGTTTTATATTTCATTGAGTAAAGACAATGATAGGAGGGGGGAGGGGGGTGTGTCCAGGGTAGGGGTGGTGTTGTGTGTTTTATGTTTTCCATGAGAACAGGGTGGGGTGTTGTTCTTTGGGGAAAGAAGGATGAAGGGGGAACCAGTTACTATTTTGTTGTAAAATATGATGAAGGCGGGACCGTTCACTATTTTGCTTGAGAAAAGAGGTGGAGGGGGGGGGGGGGGCGTGGCTGATTTCTCTGTCTGTCTCTGTCTGTCTGCCAGGGCAGGCTAAAACCTGTTAAATCATAAAATTATCAAAGACCATTTCAACTCACATTTCAGGCCCAGCCCATGTCATTTCTATGACCTCAATTTTTACATCATTTGCAGAGACGGTGTACTTGACCTAGTTTTACAACATATCTAAAGATAAAGTTTGAACCCTTTAAGTGTCGCTGACAAGTAGCCTGTGCAGCCAAGGAAGATACAGATTTCACCATTTTATATAGGAAAATCCTAGAGATCCGGCAAACCAAGCAAGTAAAGGTCATACACGTATTTTCAGAAAGTAGAATGTAAATGAAGTAGAGCTCATTAAAGAAGGAGTTAGAATATTGAACGATATAACAAGCAAGATAACAAAACAGAAATAGCCACTCAATATTATGGCCAATTAACATCAGTGCGACACAAATAGCACAAAACTTACAGCAGATTAGACCGGCGGCCATTGACAGAAGTGGGTAGAAAAAAACTTCGGAGTTGGCCTATGTCATCTGATCAGTGCAAGGCTCCACAAAACATCACTTTTCCAAACAGCCTATGGAGGAGTCTACCACGCAGAAGTGGATTTGTGGCCACCATCGTTGGTACAACAGGGCTCCTGCCATGAACTCCGCACCAAATTCAAGGAGGTTTCAAGGAGAAATTTTTTTTAATTCAAGGAGATTTGGTCAAGAAATTCATGCCGAAAGCCTATTTCTGATAGGCCTACACTTGTCTGAATCTGAAAGGAATCGTAGTTCCAATTTTCTGACAAAAACTTTTGTTTATGTCCGTTCTGGCAAAATTCAAGGAGTTTTCAAGGAGGTTCCTCAATTTCAAGGGATGTCAAGGAGGTTTTTCTTTGAATGCAAATTCAAGAGGTTTTCAAGGACTCGTTGAGTTCACGGAGGCTGCAGGAACCCTGGTACGAGTCTGCGGGGCCACACAGAGGCCAGGACTTACCCATACAGCCAGACTCGGAGTGACCGAAGAAGTAGTCGGCGCAGCGCTCACACATGCGTCCTGCCACGCCGTCCTTGCACTGGCACTGTCCCGAGCGCTCGTCACACGTATAGTTGCTGGAGCCCACACGGTCACACTCACAGGGCTT